CACACACACACACACACACGCGCGCGCGCGCGCGCGCGCGTGCGCGCACACACACACCATTCTGTTTCCCGTCCTCCCTTGTTTTGTTCTTCGAGTCATCAATTTTACTTTACTTCCTACCTACGTACGCACAGCAGTTGGCTGCTCCAGACTCCCCCCCCCCTCTCCCTAAACCCCATAATAAAAGCCACCTTTCTCTCCACCAGGTTGCATAAATATAAAGAAACTGTTTAACCACAAAGGAAGACAAATACACCCGTCTCCCTTCGATGTCTAAAATATTGCACACACATGGACTGGTAAAACGGCTCCGACTCCCAGCCAGCACTTTTTTTTTGTTTTGGGACAAGCGCCCACAACGCACAAAGAAACAAAGAACATCTTTTCACTAGAATCAAAAGACAATATTCACACAGACAAAAAGAAACCCAGTCCATTTCTCATAATCGCCTTCGGGGCAATTCTCTCAAAACGCTGACGTCAAAGTCGACACCGCCCCCCCCCCCTCCTTCCACACACACACACACTCACACACACACAAACACACACAAGTAAAACAAAATCGTTGCCGTGTAAACAGGCTCAAGGAGGCCAATTATTTCCGCTAGTTGCGGATGTAAACAGACCGACTTTTCGCCCCTTTGAGGCAGTCACCTTTGGATGTGGCCCTACATTTATTCTTTCTAAGCACCTCGAAGCACGCTAGCTGGGTTAACACGACTGGACGATCAATAAATCTTTGGCAGTTTCTACTTCAGATCGAAGACAACGTGTCCGATTTCGTCATGAATAATAGTTCTCACTTAGATGTTTACAGGCAGTGATAGAGCGAACTTCGGATTTTCCATCTTTTCATTTCGTCTGCATTCTTTCTCGGTTAGGTTATTGCGAGCGCGTGTTATTTATCACGACTGAGTCTGCTTGTTTTTCTCTCTCTCTCTCTCTATATATATATATTATGTATTTTATTATGCGCACGATTGTCTTTTCTCTCCATGAGTCGTTCTCTGCTTTGTCTCTCTCTCTCTCTCTCTCTCTCTCTCTCTCTCTCTCTCTCTCTCTCTCTCTCTCT